GGGGGGGGGGTGAGGCAGGGGGCATGAGAGTATGTCCAGACTTCAGTACCAGTATAACCCTTATCTTTAGAGAAATGCCTCCGCTCGCGGTCCTCCAACTCTTCCCGGAGGTTCCTCCTCTGCAACTCATCCTGGGTGTCTTGTCCCTCCTTTCTGTTTCCATACATGACAATGTGAAACGGGATTAACAACTTGGAATCAGGATATAATTTAGAGAACAACTAATTGATAGTTATTCAGGTAATCTTAGATGAGAACCCCGTTGAACTTAAAAATAAACAAATCCAATTTCACATGAAATACTACTGTCGACTAGAGTTTCATCAATCGACGTAATAAGTAATCTCAGTAGCCATTTTACCTGGTTCCTACACAGAGAAGTCATGTAATCTTTTCAGCTTTTAAATAAAATGGGTGATTTAAACTGATCATATTTTTCTCTCGAAATTTCATGATACAGATAGGTATCCTTCTTATAATTTTCGCTCATGATGTTCCAACAGATAAAATGAAGAATAGTTTTACCATTTTCCTGATACAGGATGCACGTTAACAATGTTTCGTTTTTATAAGGTCATTAACAATGCTTTGTTATAGTTATTATCATGTATGTCTTACTCATAAAGGTTGGCGGAGCAATCTTACCACTTGCTAATTAGGACACTACCTCAATTTTGAACTAGAATAATAAGAGACAGTAGAAAAATATCCAGTACAACTACCAACTAAGGAAAATCTACTTCTAAAAAACACACAGTTCATCGTTGACGGGTATTATTTGATTCATGACAACCTCCCTATAGTGATCAGGGCATTTTACTGTTATCTATTTCAAGTCATTAAAATGCAACGCGCGCGTGCACACAGCTGCACACACACACTCTGTATATTGTGTGTGTATGCACACAGACACACAAAACAATAATAACAACTCAACCTCAGTCTCAAACAAGTCGGTATTGGCTATATGAATCCTCACTAACCATGGTTCTCCATTTAAACTCATCTCAGATCAACATTACATCAAAGAAAAAAATAAAAGGTATTAGAAGTTATCTATATCTTTTCTACAGGCATATAAATATCTCATAGGGCTAAAAGACTCCTCGAAAGCACAGGAATGTGAACATGCTAATATGACTAAGCATATTCCCAACTAATTGCTATCCGCCTATATAGATCTTTTTCTTTCATTGTGCTCTATTTTTCGTAAGTCGGCATGGATTCCAAGAAATTGTAGGTCTTTTGAAATAACTTCCTTCCATGTAATTTTAGGTCTACCCTGTCCTATTTTAACACCTTCACTCACCATGGTTTCACACCTACGAACCACTGCACCTGGAGCTCGAGGTCAACATCGGACATATAATGCACGCACACTAAAAAGCACACAATGCAACTTAGATATCTATAAACTTAAGAGTTAATACCCTAAAACCACCCTAAACTATCATATTTTTGTCAGCTTCCTACCTAAACTATCCAGTGTACCTAAAATCCCCTTGAACTATATCTCCCTAGTTTCTAAGAACTCCTTCATCGATTTTTTCGAGCTGTGTATGATGCACGCTCCTAATTAACTTTAAACTGTGAGTTTACAACACGTGGCTACTTAGTTAAGCATAATTTAATTATTATTTTAATTAATGATTTGAACTAATAATCAAAAATAAGAAATGGGTAAAAACCTTTGTTCTTCCATCTCCTACAACAATGGCTACCCCTTCTATCAATCTGGATTTTCACCATTAAACGTCAATTCAACCTTCTTTTTCACACTAACCTTCGATTTCACTGTAATTTTTAGTTTAGGCAGAGATTTGGGATTTAAAAAAACTAGGATTTGACAAGAAAGAGAAGTTATAGAAAAATAAATAAAGAAAAAATGAAGAAGAAAGGTAATTTCAGAAGAAATAAGAGAAGAGAAAAGTTTCAAATGGAACCCATAAGGAGAAAGGAAGAAGAAAGGGAAAAAAAAGAAGAAAAAAGGTGAAAAATAAAGAAAAAAATCTGGAATAAAAAGAAAATAGAAAGGAAAAAGAAATCGAATATCTTAACACTAATTAGCCGTTAGAAGTATGCCAGGTGAGGCCATTTTATGGATAATTTCATCTTCCACGCGCCTTTAGACGAGTTATTTCACACATTTTGCCGAAAAAATAACGAGGGGGCTTTTAATAACTAAGAGATATTGTTCAGGGGTATTTTGGGGACACCGAATAGATTAAGTAGTAAACTGACAAAAACGTGATAGTTTAGGGAGATTCTAGGGTATTAACTCTAAACTTAAATATCTATATTGAAATAGGTTATCTGAGCCATGAAATGCCAAAGCTTGTATTTGAATTTTGGAAACATCCATGATCCCCTACCCCCAATAAATATGTAAAACAATAAGAAAGGGAGAAAAAACTCCAAATTACTTCAGTGAGGTTTATCATGTCAAAATTTATTTTATAGGGGATTGTACGAAATAGGTCTAACACAGAATAACAGAACAAAGCCATGCTCCTTTGCTTCTCAGTAACACTCTGATAAAGTTAAGTCTCAGCCCTGGTTTTATGACATAAGTTTCCCAAATATTTTCTGCTAATAATACTAGAATCCTAGTGCCTTGCCTATGGAACAAAGGAGCAGCCCGGTGCACTAAGCTCCCGCAATGCGCAGGTTCGGGGAAGGGCCGGACCACAAGGGTCTATCGTACGCAGTCTTACCCTACATTTGTGCAAGAGGTTGTTTCCATGGCTCGAACTCGTGACCTCCTGGTCACATGACAACAACTTTACCAACTACTGCCTTTGGAACATGCTAAACAAAATCGACTAGCTTGATAGACAACTCTGTGTTAAACTAAAATCATGGAGTTATTCTTATTTCTGTTACAGATACATCACAAAGGAACATTTTTTTGATTCTAACCACTGAATTATCACATTGTTTTGTTATATCGTCCAACAGCTCAAAAAACATACTCATTGACATGACTTTCGTCAACCATATTTACTAATTCAAAGGACTTGCACAAGCTCATATCTCCTGAACTCGGTAAGACATCACCTAGTTTAAAATTTCTTCATGCACATGGAATAAGATAGAAAGCTCCAAAAATTAAAATAAATGTGAAAATAAAAGCACACGACAGGGCAGGATTACTAACCTGGGCTTTAAGGTAGTGTGAGCTGCAATGTCTCTGGAAGAGTACTTTTGAGATGGACCAAAAATACGAGTTCCACCTTGTTCATTGCCACCTTTAGCTGGTGCCCAAGTAGGTCTAGCTGCAGTCGTCATACCTTCTAGATCTCCTAGATAAAATCTATCCCAAAAAAAAAAAGATGTAACCATTTACTCAAAAATCGAAATTGAAATAAAACAGGCCCAAGATAGTGTCTAATGGATTGAGATGATGCATAGTACTACCCAGCTAGTTCGGGATTAAGCAATCGGTGGTGGTGGTAATAATAATAATAATAATAATAATAATAATAATAATAATAAATGTTATTATTATTTTCGACAAAGATTAACAATAATAATAAACTTATTAACTGAAATTGGAGTGAAATGGGGTCGAAGAGCTCAGTGTTGCAGAGTATTCATATAGTTGATCCTAGCTAGTTTGGGATTAACGCGGAGCTGATGATGATCATCACCACAACAATAGTAACAACAACAACCACGACAACAACAATAATACCAACAAACTCAGGAACCTGAATTGGAATCTTCTTGCTTGAGTGCACGCGGCTCAAATATTGGTGGACAAAGTGAAAATAAACATGAATCGAAAGAACCAACCATAGGAATCTCTGACTTGAGCTAGGGTGAAGGAATTTTCAGAAAAAGTACATAAAATACATAGAAACACACAAAAACATGTACTGAAACCCTAGAAAAAACAACATCGTTGCAGCAACTTAAACACTGATTGATGAAACCCTATGATAGTTCAAATGAGAAATTGAAGTAAAAATACACAAAAATTTCCATTACCTAACGTCCGACGAGAAGTGATCCTAGAAATCAGAAGGACTCGGAGCTTCGACCCGAAATTGATAGAGAAGAAACTATGGATTCCGCTTTCAACGGATTAAAACATTTATTACTCCATAATATTACATATTTGCCATCGTCTTCTTTGACTGTGGTCCTGTGGGTAAAGGCTTGGGCCGCTTGCAAATCTAGCAGTATCTTTACACAAATAGCCATTATTTACCTTTCTTGTTCAGTACAATCTATGTATTCATAGATTATACATTGATTATATACGATTATATATATTATATATATAAATTATACATATATTATACATTCACCATTTATTTTTAGTTTAACCAATTAGATGGACGATTATTTAAGTTAATTTTTCAATTTAAAACCATCGTCCAATATTTAGATTATTGGGCTTTCTTGAACTAAATAGCACATTCTCTAGTCTCTACTTTAAAAAGTTGTTGTGGGTGTGTGGTGGGAGGGAGAGGAGGTAAAATAGCATCCATATTTTTCGATCATGTCTTGAAAAAATAGGATGTTTACTCAAATAGCCGGTGTTTATTTTTTTAGCCATATATATAGATTATACATAATTATATATTATTATACATATATAATATATGAACTATGCATATATTATACCTTTATCGGCTATTTTAAATTTAAAGGGTTGGGTGAACGGCTACTTGAGTTGATTCTTCTTAAAAAAATTATTACTATCTTAATGCCTTTTAATTTTACAAGTGAAATTCCATGCTAGTGACATGCATTTTTTGTTATCGTTCATATTAGTTATTAATAAGTTTAAATTTTTTGTTTGTGTAAGGATCCCAAAAATTAGTACATGAACTACGAGTGAAATTAAAAAATAGTCAGATTTACAATTAGTAATTGAAAAATAGCCACAATTTCAAAAGTAATCGAAATTTAGCCACTTTTCATGTAAAGATAAATCTTAATGAAAACACTGTTCAAAATCCGGTAATATACCGGAGTTCGAATTTTTTACATGTGAACTTCCAGCATAATATAAGTTCAAGTATAATATAGTGGAGTTCCAACATAATATATTGGAGTTCGAGCATAATATATTGGAAGTTCATACGCATGTGCTCCAATCTCCAATATATTATAATGGAATTTTCCGTGTGGTGGAGTTCCAGCATAATATACTGGAAGTTCATACACAGGTGAATAAATTACCAGTATATTATGCTGTAACTTTTCGTGTTGTAACAAAATAATAACTATTTTTTAATAACTTTAAAAATACGGGCTATTTTTCAGTTAACAATCCGATAACGGGCTAGGCCGTGCTATTTTCACGTGAACTACGGAAGTGATACATAATTGACTGCTAAATTGAATTGATTGTGATATCAACAATAATGTATTTGGTACTTGCAACAAAAAGGGGGAGGCTGCTGTTAAGTGCTCTTTCCAACTTTTCCACAAAATACAGCGCTGGTTTTTGTATATATAAAAATATTCCATTTCAAGAACCCAACGAATACAACAATTCTCCTACTCTGAAAGTAACGAACATTCATTCCAACAATATGAGTAATCTAAAATCCAAGTTTTTGGAGGTTTACTCAGTATTAAAATCTGAGCTTCTTAATGATCCTGATTTCGAGTTTACTGATGAGGCTCGTCAATGGGTCGAACGGGTAATTTTTTTTATTTTTTTTTTATTTCCCATTTTTGATATTTAGTTTTTAAAATGACCCGAATAGAGAAAATGNGAACCTTCTTATTTTATGTGAATTGCGTAGAATTTAATATTTGGCTGCATTTTTGATGTGGTTCGTTTCTACTGGTGTATCATGTTTTAATTTGGTGATCCTCTGTTCTTTCATCTAAAAGATTTTTGATGTATAAAGGGCAGTCCGGTGCACTAAGCTCCCGCTATGCGTGGGTCCGGGGAAGGGCCGGACCACAAGGGTCTATAGTATGCAGCCTTACCCTGCATTTTTGCATGTTGAATTCATATAATAGAGGATGATCAGCTAGTTATACTTGACATGTTATCATATCATGAGTGATCTGCTAGTCTCATAAGCGAGAAAGGAATACTTTGTTTGTGATTGAGCTGATTAACATGAGGTAAAATAAAGGCTTCATCTTTTGTTTCTAATATGGAGTAAATTAGATGATTGGGCCTTTCATCGGAGGGGGATCCAGGGTTTGAACTTTATGGGTTCGAGTTCAAAATTCTACCACAATTAATTATTTGTACTTATTTCGTGAATTCTTTTAACACATATCTGGGTTCGGAAGAACTGCCTTTCATTATTTGGTAGTGCTTGAACTAAGTCATTTTGTAAACCTCCTTTTTATCAACTGAACAAAGATATGAGCACATAAGAATGTGTCCGCAGCATCAGAAAGAAACTATTCTCAACTATCATAATGAAACGAAGATGACATTGGATTGATAATGGATTGTAGACTGCAAAAGAATTAGTTTTACACCCTTTTACCATATGCTCCAAACATCCAGTGAAGAAGATGTGTGTTAAGTAGAAATTTTGATGTTATAAAAGGAAGCAATTGAATATTTATGCATATTTAATGAATTTTCTTATGCAGATATAGGGTCTAAGCAAAAGTTATTGTGTTCATTCGAACCCGTAACTAAAGTGGTAGCTCCGCCCTTGCGTCTAACTTATTCCAAATACACTAACTGGAATCCAGCATCTCATTAATTGAGAGTATATGCAGCTTTGCTGGGTGTTATGCTTTTTGGAGAGAGGAAGTGGAGAATGCTTGTGGATCTGTTCTTTGTTTTACTAAGAGATAAATAGAGAATTAATAAATATTTTTGTGATAGAAGGGGATCTAACTTTTGATTTTAGAGTAGTGGGATAGAAGTGGGTGTGATGGTGACTGCGCCCGTTTTCTAACATTCTGTTTCCGCCCATGCTTTGTGATTGCTTTATGAAGAACGGGGGAACTGTATCCACTTTACTAAAAAATAGAGTTCAAAATGGTCTGTTTGGGTTATCTCCTGATGCTTAATGCGGTATAAACTAACTATTCTCTGAAAGCAGTTTGTTACTTTTGATATGACAAAATTTCTAACTTCATTACAGCTAGAGGAAATTTGTTATGACAAGTTTTGAACTTCGGTATGGCCGGTGTCTCCGGTTCTATTCATTTTAATTGTTCCCCTGAATTATTGAATCTTTTGGACAGCCAGTGTATCACTTTGTCTTCTTTTTATGCTTCTAATTTATACTTTCTCGTGATTGTTTCAGATGTTGGACTACAATGTACCTGGAGGTGAGAAATCTAGCTATTTTAAATTTTCTACTAACTCCATAATCTTTAATAGCTAGAGGTTTTTATTCTAAGCAGGGGCGTATCTATGTTTAGGGCATGGATTCACGTGAACCCATGCTTCTCTCCCTAGATTATGTATAATAATGTTGTGTCTCTTCAAAATTGCTTAAATATATATGTGTGCGCCCAAGCTCAAAGAATTCTATGGTGCAATGATTATTGGGTGCACCTTTACAAGTGAAGTCGGGGTTTCAAATCCCACGTCTATCTTGTTGTTTTTAATGATGAGGACCTAAAGGCTGAACCCGTCAAATGTAAATCATGGATCCACCTCTAATTAAGTGCACCCATCTTCTTAAAATCTTTGATCACCTTTGATTTAAGTACTTCATACTACAGGAAAGCTGAATCGGGGGATCTCTGTGATTGATAGCTACAGTTTGTTGAAAGAGGGGAAAGAACTAACCAATGAGGAAATCTTTCAAACATCTTCCCTTGGCTGGTGCATTGAATGGGTATGCAGCATTAGCATTCTTCAAGCTACACCTATCCTGGTTTCTAACCCCGAATAAACTTTTTTTTTCTTTTAAATTCTTCTGAGTGTATGGTGTGATTGTGTGCTGCAGCTTCAAGCATATTTCCTTGTTCTTGATGATATAATGGATGGCTCTCACACACGCCGAGGTCAACCGTGTTGGTTCAGATTACCGAAGGTGTGTGTATGCGAAGAGACTACTGTTTTGCTCTTTGAATTGATCGGCAATTACATCTACTCAGTCATTTTTTTAATTCTTGTAGGTTGGCATGATTGCTGCTAATGACGGCATACTTCTTCGTAACCACATCCCAAGGATACTGAAGAACCACTTTAGAGGAAAGCCTTATTATGTCGATCTTCTTGAGTTGTTTAATGAGGTGAGAATTTTTAAGCGCAAAGGAGGCCTCTGATTTAAACTTCTTATAATGCTGAACATTTTTCCTTTTTTTTTCCTCTTTGGCATTGTCGACATGTTTTTACAGGTGGAATTCCAGACTGCCTCTGGACAAATGATAGATTTAATTACTACACTTGTTGGAGAGAAAGATTTATCAAAATACTTATTGCCTATGTAAGGAGACTTCGTCGAGAGTACTGCGCTATTTTTGCTGCTTTCAGTATTACTTGCATTATTTAACTCATTGCGATGTGATTTTTCATGCAGTCATCGGCGGATTGTTCAGTATAAAACTGCTTATTACTCATTTTACCTGCCAGTGAGTATGAATTGACTTAATAGCTTGTTAATTGCTATTCTATTATGAGAATGTCTTAATATCTATTTCTTTTTCTGAATATTAAATTTGTATGGAAGACTTGTCATTTTTCTAACTTGAGTATAGATGTTTTAAAACAATCTCAAAGTTTTAAACATCTTGAAGTCAATTAGCCATTTGCAAAAGTATGACCAAGCTTCTTATTTAGATTTCCATCTGAGCTAAACCTTGCACTTTCCCCTTCAATCTCTTTTTAATGTTTTTATTTTTTTATTTCTCTAGATTCTAGATTGTAAACATGACTTTTAAAACTTCTGTGCATGCTCGGTTTGTGGTTAAATTTCCTGTTCCTCTTAATGAATTCACTATCCAAATTAATAAGAATTACCTCGAGATTAGTGTGCATTTGATATAAAGTACAGCCGAATACTTACTATGAATATTTTCAGGTGGCATGTGCACTTCTTATGGCAGGAGAGAGTCTTGACAATCATGTTAATGTCAAGAACATACTTATCGAAATGGGAATCTATTTCCAAGTTCAGGTGAGAATTACGATTAACCGCTC